TTGGCTCGCACGCGCACAGAGAATATTCCTGCAAAGTTTCAGCTCTGTACCTTGCCTGGTTCGCAAAATCGTTTCCTACCGAAGAAATTTGCATATTTTCCGGGAGAATCCGTACGCTGGTTCTAGGTGCGTGTGGGGGGAGATCTTGAAACGAGAGGGTGACACACGGAGTAGAAGCGTATGCTCAAAGTTTCAGCCTCCCAGTTTTCCTGGTTACTGAGATGAAAGTGGGCGACAGAATGGACTCGCTTCCGAACACACACACACCAACACACAGATAGCCTCTCGACAATGTACATTTTTGCTCACTACTATAGCAGTACACAGCAAAGACGAATAAAAAGGTTTCAGCCAATATTGGCGCAGTGTGTGCTTGCGTTAAAAGTGTATTCAGGAAATGCACAAACGAACTCGCATTTTTTGTACAAATTAACTACGTGAAAATATGCGACATCGTTTAATGTTATTTTGCGGAATAAAAAATGTCAAGATGAACTCACGGCAATAGCAATAGGTTTTCCACGCGTTTCTTGCCGTGATCCTGAATGGATGAAGCATAAGTTAATCGCTGACTGAATCATTCAGTAAAAAAGTTTTGATTGGTACTGTAAAAAAACATCTCGCCCTGCTAAGCATTTATATGCTCAAACATACACGGGATTCTCAAGAGGAGCTAGCAGCTACGAGATAGCAGGAAGCAAATTTAGTTGTTTTTTCAAAACATACTAGCAATTTAGCATTTTTTTGCGATTTTTATGCTTGCTAAAACTTTTTAATCGTGCTCCTATTACCAAAACGGGAAATATTTCCCGAAACTTTCTCGTAAAGGCGCTAAAACTGCTCTTTTTCAGAAAATTTTGAGTCAATTTTAACATCTTCTAAGCAGTGCTCCTCATATTTTTCCCAAATGATAATTCAATCAAAAAAAAAGAATGCAGACTTGGTGCTTGAAAAGGCCCATAGAATCGTATACTAGTGAAATCGAAAAGTTCCGGCACCGCAGCAAAAAACAGTGCGTTCAGTCCTTCTTCTGGAGTGATTGATGCCTCTCTTTTGATTCGAATACCATTTGGCCCATAAAAAACGTCTTCTCTGTAGTCTATTGGCGGGTCATAGTCTTTTGGTGCTACGTTTATATTTTCGTCTCGCAATTTCAGTTGTTGGGCCGTCTGCGTCACTCCGCCATTCGACAACGCTACCAGCAAATGCTCATTGGTCTGGATGTTACCATTTTCATGCCGTCGCTCCGAATATGCAGTGGTGACGTCCAGTGTGGAACTGGGATTCATCACTGTGTGGCTGCAAATGACGAATAGTTCAACAAAAGATAAGGTTATTTTTTGGGCAATTGCTAAAACACGGCTCGATTCGGCTTGAATCGGCTAGGCTCGCCTCGGCCAGCCCCGGCAACTGCACGAGTCGCCGATTTATGGGTAAACATGTAGTGGGGCAGCAGGACGGGAGATAGAGGGGAAGGAGAACGGGGAGGGAGAGAGGAAGGAGGGACAGGGGGAAGGTTGGGACGGGGGGACAAGGGGACGGGGGAAGGTAGGGGAAGTGGGAATGAATGGGAAAGACGGGGATGGGGGAAAGCGAGGAGAGGGAGGAGCAAGGAAAGGGAAGGGTACAGGAGGGGGTGGGGAGGGGGTGCCGTGTGAGAATGGTGACCACAGAGTCGGAGACATTGGGGAAGGGGGTGCTTGGGTGAGTTGAGTGGGAACGTGGCGTGGCCGCGTAGGGGAGAGGGGGTGATGGGCGGATGGGAGAAGAATCCATATGATGATTTTGCGCAAATGCGCGAGGTATGGAAAGTGCTCGGGAGGGGGATATACTGCAGAGAGTATAAAAGGGAGAGGAGGAGGGAGGGCGAAGAGGGTTGGCAGTGCATGAGCACATTTTGGGGGTACTGGATTCGAGACGCAGGGAGGGGTTGTGATAGGCGGTAGGGGAGGGGGAATGGTATGTGCGGGTTACGCGCGCAGAGACTCGAGGCAGGGGCGACGGATCGGGTGAATACACTGAATAGCTACATGATATAGATCTTTTGTCAGTTGCCTAGGCCACTTAAGGGAAAGGGAAATGGGTGATGGAAAGGAGGAAAACAAGAAAAAAGTAGCAGCAAGAAAGGAAATAAAAGCAAGAAAAAAGCACCATCAAGAAAGAAAGTAAGAGAAAGAAAAAAGTACAAGCAATAAAGAAAATAAAAACAAGAAAACCAAGCGGAAAATCCGCCATAAATAGGGGACGCCCAAACTCATAAACCTGATGCTTAAGCGAAGAAAGCAGAAAGCCAATAAGGTGAAACTAATGCTTAGGTGAAGCTGCGAGCTCTCAGCTTTACCTAAGCATCAGCAGTTTTATCCCTCAGCTTTTAAGCATCAACAATTAGATCCCTGAGCTTTGCCTAAGCATCAACTTCATAAACATGGACGCTTTATCTAAGCATCAGCTTAATAAACACGGAAGCTTTACCTAAGCATCAGCTTCATAAACGGGGAAGTCCTTTGCTGATAAAGCTTCCTTACTTATGAAGCTGATGCTTAGGCAAACTTTTCGTATGAAGCTGATGCTTAGGTAAAGCTTCCGTATTTACTAAGTTGATGCTTATATAAAGCTCAGGGATCAAATTGCTAGTGCTTAGGTAGGGCTGAGGAATCAAACTGCTGATGCCTAGAGCTGGAGCTCGCAGCTTTACCTAGGCATCAGTTTCATCTTATTGGCTTTCAGCTTTCTTTACTTAAGCATCAGCTTTATGAGTGGGAATTTTCCCTATTTGTGGAGGGTTTTCCGCCTGCTTTTTTTACTTTTACTTCCTTTATTGCTTGAACTTCTTTTATTTCCTTCCTTGCTGGTACTTTCTTCTTGCCTTTATTTCCTTTCTTGCTGGTACTTATTTCTCTCCTTTCAATCCATCACCCATTTCCCTCTCTCTTAAGTGGCTTAGGCAG